TCCCCAGTTTCTGTATATTTGCTTCTTTTGGATAGCTCTGAAAGTGTATCCATTTAGATGTATTCAGCAAGGCTTATTTGCAGAGCAATAGCAGGGTGGGCATCATGTGGCACCTCCCAGCTGCTTGGGAAAAAGATGGCAAATAACATTTGGAGGAATGCACCACTCTCATCCTGGGGTTTTAGGACTGCTATCTGAATTGTTCTGTCAAGAGGTTCTTCTGGTTTTCACATTAACCTGTTTTTATTTTATTTCCACATCTTTAGGGCGGAGCATCACATTGGAGATGGATTGATAATTCCCCCTGGGATTACTCTAAAATGATTGACAATAATAACTTTCTTCATGGCTTGGCAGTCGACAAAAAGGATAATGAAGGTTTGGAGGGGATGGGGAACAGTCTCTATTCTCTCTCTTTCTTAAAGCTCCTACAGCTCACCTTGTCCACTCAATGGAAACTTCTGTTGATTTCCAGACTATCTTTTTTTTTTTACATTTTCTTTTTTGTTTAATTTTTATTTCAAAAAATTATACATAACCATAATTACCATAATTTTCCCTTTTTCATTCCCTCCTCCCTCCCCCTTCTCTGTTGACAAGTTAATCCTTTAGTTTCCAATGACATGAGCCTTCTTTCCATTTGATCCATTTTTTCTTCCAGCTTTCATCATCTAGTTTAACAGCCTGTAACCATCTGTTAAATTGAGTCCAAATTTCTTTAATTTTCTTCTGTTTGTCTATGTTTTTTTCCGCTTCTTATAATGTCCATAATATCCAGTTGTGTTTGGTCCCACACATATTCATACCATTTTTCCAGTGTCCATTTCTTTTTATCTTTCCACCCCAAGCTATTACTGCGTGTGCTGTTCTAAACATCATCATCATTGGGTTGTTGTAGGTTTTTTCAGGCTATATGGCCATGTTCTAGAGGCATTCTCTCCTGACGTTTCGCCTGCATCTATGGCAAGCATCCTCAGAGGTAGTGAGGGCTATTGGAAGTAGGAAAATTAGGTTTATATATCTGTGGAATGTCCTGGGTGAGACAAAGGACTCTTGTCTGCTGGAGCTAAGTGTGAATGTTTCAACTGACCACCTTGATTAGCATTTGATGGCCTGGCTGTTGTTTGGTGTGGCTTGTTAGTGCCTGGGGCAATCTTTTGTTGAGAGGTGATTAGATGTCCATGATTGTTTCCTCTCTGTTGTTTTGCTGTTGTAATTTTCCTAGTTCCAACAGACCTCACTACCTCTGAGGATGCTTGCCATAGATGCAGGCGAAACGTCAGGAGAGACCTCATGGACCTGCCCACAGCAGAGCTCCCTGTCAGCCGTCACCACCCCCAGCTCCTTAAGAGTCCAGCCAGTCACTTCAAGGATACCATCCATCCATCCATCTTGCCTTTGGTCGGCCCCTCTTCCCTTTTCCTTCCATTTTCCCCAGCATAATTATCTTCTCTAAACTTTCCTGACTTCTCATGATGTGGCTAAAGTACTTCATCTTTGCCTCTAATATCCTTCCCTCTAATGAGCAGTCGGGCTTGAAGTATGGACATTACTTTCAGCAAAGTAGGGCATGTAGGCAGTATGTGAGTTACTTAACTAAAAACTTTAGTAATTAGATACATGCAGTGCCTAAACTCTAATTACAGGAAAGTTGCAAGAGGAACAGCTTAGCACCATTTTGAGGAAGAAAGAAAAGAGAAAAAGAGGAGGAGGAGGACTCTTTCATGTGCTATACCTGTAAGGGTCTCTGGTCAGATGGTGTGGTCACTTGAATGCATAGATACATTGGTCACACAACATCAAAACAAAGGAAAAAGTTTCAGAGGCATGCCAGAAACTCTTCCAAAGGCTCATTGCTCTAATAATGAATGTGAGGTAGAAAGAGAATGTTGTTGAAGGCTTTCATGGCTGGAATCACTGGGTTGTTGTGAGTTTTCCGGGCTGCATGGCCATGCTCCAGAAGCATTCTCTCCTGACGTTTCACCCACATCTGTGGCAGGCATCCTCAAAGGTTGAGAGATCTTTTGGGAACTAGGCAAGTGAGGTTTATATATCTGTGGAATGTCCAGGGTGCTAATCAAGGTGGCCATTTGCAACATTCACACCTGCTTCAAGCAGTTAAGAGTTCTTTCCCCCACGCTGGACATTCCACAGATATATAAACCTCACTTGCCTAGTTTCCAACAGACCTCTCAACCTCTGAGGATCCCTGCCACAGATGTAGGTGAAACATCAGGAGAGAATGCTTCTGCAACATGGCCATACAGCTCAGAAAACTCACAGCAACCCAGAAAGAGAATGCTTAGCTGAGAAGTATTTGTTAACAAAAAGCAAGTCCTGTAATATTCCAGTTAAATAAACCAAACAAACAACGATTGCAATCTTTTAGCTGCCCAGATCTATGTTTAGAAGCATTACTTTTATGAACCATAGTTCTTCAAATCCCCTAGCCAGCACCTTCATTTTTCCAAGCTCTGTCAAAATATGCTAATCTACATACAATAAAAAGAAAGGGAGAATGTGAATTGATAAAAAGGACAGAAAGACACTCTGCTAGACAGATTTCATTGTTCCCATTTTGACTTCTCTCTCCCTCCTTCCTTCTCTCTTTCTTTTAGATAAAACATATTGGAAGATTGTAGCTAAAGTCTCCAAACAAAAATATGTCTGTAAATACCTATTGAATTGAAGATACCAGAACCAATGGATCAAAACAGCTGTGTTGTGGCTTCGACTGGAAATTTTTATTCCAATAGTAGAAATTATTCTGTACAGATCACTGCCCAGCTAATTTCTTAATCTAATAATCAGCCCTACAGAGCAGTGAACTTGTGAGTGGCATAAGAATAAAGAAAATGCTTTCAAATTGCAGCTGCTTTTAACATGTTACAGCCTTCAACATGTAGCATTTCGTTTGTGGTCTAGATTATAAGATCTAGAGCAGTGGTTCTCAGCCTGTGGTTTTCCAGGTGTTTTGGCCTACAACTCCCAGAAATCCCAGCCAGTTTACCAGCTGTTAGGATTTCTGGAAGTTGAAGGTCAAAACATCTGGGCACCCACAGGTTGAGAGCCACTCACTGATCAAGAGTATGCTGTGTCACAACTGAATTAATTTTGAAAACGCTTCTATGGATGGAATAAATGATTTTCCAGAAAATTGCATGGAACGCTGCTGTTCGATGTTGATATAGAGTTTCCTCTTTGGAAAAAAGTGCTTGAAATATACCTGTATGCTTTCTGAAATTATTTTAATAAATTTATACCTTACTCCTTCTATATAAATAAAAATGTAATGTTCGTTTGTGGGATTAACATAATTCAAAAACCACTGGATGGATTGACACCAAATTTGGACACAATACACTTATCAAGCCAATGAGTGACCATCATTCATAAAAACACTGAAAAACACAGCAGAAGAGACTTAAAAAGCAAAAACAATAAATATACAATTTTATATATACACACAAATACATACACAAACACACATATATATACATACAAACACACTATATACACATATACACAAAGATACATACACACAAAACATATATACACAGACTGGGCCACAGCAATTCCTGGCAGAGGACGGCTAGTCAAAAATAAAAATCTAAAGCAGCTCATAAACATAAAATGCCACACAACTTCCGTATCGATAAGGGACACATTCCCAGACTTGTATGGATACTTCTTACTTAAGTGATCCCTTGTTGTCCAAGTATGATGGCCTTCCAAGTGTAGTGTCTTGGTGGTGGGTACGTACACAAAACTGTGGATAATAATGATACTTTGAAATAAAGGTCTTCTGTCTCAGAATTACCAAAGAGTTGTGTTGGAGGACCTAAAGATGCTTAGAGAGGAAATATTTTGTCAGATACGGAAAAATGAAGTTGTGGATACAGGAGTTGCATTGTATATAATATTAAAAGAAATCATGTAAATATAAAACTTCACACAGCAGAAAAGAGATGTGATCTAGACAAAACCCCAATCAAGACAGCAAATAATTCACAACAGTAGCAACAATGAAACACTATAATATATTAAAATGCTGAATGAAAAACCTAGACTAAAAGCAATGACACATTTTTACCTAGTACTGGAAAAACATGGAAGTAGACATCAGAACAAGGGTGTTTTCCAAGCTTAAGAAAATTACTCTTTTGGATTCAATTGCAGTGGAATAGGGCTATTGAGCCCCTCTAGTGGGGCAGTGGGTTAAACTGCTGAGCTGCTCAACTTGCTGACCCAAAGGTTGGCGATTTGAATTCGGGGAGCGGGATGAGCTCCTGCTGTTAGCCCCAGCTTCTGCCAACCTAGCAGTTCGAAAACATGCAAGTGTGAGTAGATCAATAGGTACTGTTTTGCAGGAAGGTAACGCCACTCCATGCAGTCATGCTGGCCACATGACCTTGGAGGTGTCTACAGACAATGCCCGCTCTTCAGCTTAGAAGGAGATGAGCACTACCCCTCCAGAGTCGGACACAACTAGACTTAATGTCAAGGGGAAACCTTTACCTTTACCTTAGAGCTGTCTATGGACACAATTACAACTTACCTTGGATAGCTATTCCCACTGTTCCCTAGTGAGAGAAAATGGCTCACTGCAGAAAGCAACTTTTTCTCAGTCCTATAATCCATAAAAAGGCCCCACAAGAGCACCTGACAACTGGAGCTTCCTCCAACTTGAACCAAGCTTCCAGAACCACATGCAAATAGGCTATGAATTCAAATGCAGAGTTGTTTTCTCCAACTCATCTCTGATATGATGTTCTTTTAACTTTTTAGGGTTGTACATAAGCATATATTCACAATAATGCTGTGAAGCTTTCAGATAATATTAATGCTTTCTCCATTTTTAATACCCCACATTTTCAGAATGGAATTCAGTTAGTTTTTTCTTGAAACCACAAATGTCAGAGCCGGCTTGTTTTGATATCTTTCTATACAGCAAATTTGATAATGGGTGAGAAACATCCACTGGTGAAACCTAAACCTCCTCATGAAGAATATATTTTTACAGCGGGTAAAATGTCAAAGGGTTTCCCCAATCTCATAAGGCACCTTCTGTTATTCAGTTGGGGATGAAACAATAAGATATAACACTTAGTAAGAAACATCCCACAAAGCAAGGATAAACTGGATGCAAGGATAGCAAAGGCCTCAGTAGCTGCAGAGTAGTATTCTGGAGATGTAAGGTAGGCAGGGACAAATGCCAGCCAGACCCCAAAGCAGCCTGATAAACTGAAACAGATCAGTGATGCTTCATTGAAAGCTTCAGGGAGGTTGCGTGCCAAGAAAGCCGCAGTTAAGCTGAGCCCGGCCAGGAGTCCCAGATAAGATAGCATGCCCCAAAAAGCAGTGGGTGAACCTTCATGACATGACAGGGTGATGGCAGGGGATAAAGAGGTTCTCTTGAGATATGGAGGGGATGTCATGGACCAGATGGCACATAACAGGAACTGGAGGAGGCAGCCTGGCAGAATAACAGCACAAGGCATCCGGGAACTGAGCCAGACCCTTGAGCGGACACGGGGGCTTATTGCCCTGAATGCTGCCACCACCAGCATCGTCTTGGCCAGGATGCAAGACAGACAGAGGGCAAAAGTCATCCCAAAGACAACTTGACGCAACAAGCAGGAGGTGTGGCTGGGTCGCCCGAGAAACAGAAGGCAGCAAAGGGAGCTCAGGGCCAGTCCAACCAGGAGCAGGTAGCTCAGCTCACGGCTGTTGGCCCGAACCAGTGGAGTCTCTCGGTGTGTGATGAAGATGGCGAGAATCAGGACGGGCATGATGGATCCACAGACAGAAGCACTAGCCAAGCTGGCCCCCAGGGGCTCATGGAAGGCTAGGAACAGTTCCTTTTTGGGTAGGCACTTTGTCTGGCCTTGGTCCGGCCATTGGTCTTCAGGGCATCTTGAGCAGATGGAAGAATCTAGGAGGAGAGGCAAATTCAGTGAGCTGTCTCATTGCCATCCTATTATCTTGCCCAACTTTACTCCTTGCAAAAAGCAAGGGACTACCTTCAATCAGGGCTGCAAGTTGTTTGAAAGACCATGGAGACATATCCTGTAACTTGGATAGGACCTAAAGCATAATTCAAATGTTCTTATTACAAATCCAGAGATAGAGCCAGGTCAAGCTTACCAACGTGCTAAAGAGTAAATATCTAAAATGGGTCCCCCAATTCTGTCCTAGAATATTGGAATTTGTAGCTCACTATGTAAAATCAACTGGCAGGGGATTAAGTAAAGACAAAATAAAAGAATTCCAATATGCAACATACAGCTTAAAGGCACCAGATCCCATCTGACCTTGGAAGCTAAGCAGGTTAGTAAATGGCTTGCCAAGGAATGTCAGGGGCCAAAGACGCATTTCTTAATCTGGGGGCCGGGACCCCTGGGCGGGGGGTCACGAGGTGGGTGTCAGAGGGGTTGACAAAGACCATCAGAAAACACAGTATTTTCTGCTAGTCATGGGGGTTCTGTGTGGGGAAGTTTGGCTCAATTCTATCATTAGTGGGATTCCGAATCCTCTTTGATTGTAGATGAACTACAAATCTCAGCAACTACAATTTCCAAATGGCAAGGTCTATTTTCCCCAAACTTCACCAGTGTTCATATTTGAGCATACTGAGTATTTGTGCCAAGTTTGGTCCAGATCCATCATTGTTTGAGTCCACAGCGCTCTCTGGATGTAGGTAAACTACAACTCCCAAACTCAAGATCAATGCCCATCAAACCCAGTATTTTTTGTTGGTCGTGGGAGTTCTGTGTGCCAAGTTTGGTTCAATTCCATTGTTGGTGGAGTTCAGAATGCTCTTTGATTGTAGGTGGACTATAAATCCCAGCAGCTACAACTCCAAATGCAGTCCAAAATCAAGCTGCCCACCAACCCCACAAGTATTCAAATTTGGGCGTATTGGGTATTTGTGCCAAATTTGGTCCAGTGAATGAAAATACATCCTGCATATCAGATATTTACATTAGGATTCATAACAGTAGCAAAATTACAGTTATGAAGTAGCAACGAAAATAATTTTATGGTTGGGGGTCACCACAACATGAGAAAGTGCATTAAGGGGTCATGGCATGAGGAAGGTTGAGAACCACTGTGCTACAGACTATGGTTCAGGGGAAGTAACTGGCAAAATCACCTCTGAATATTCCTTGTCTAAGGAAATCCTGTGGGGTCAGCATAAATGAACAAGGTACACAAAGGCACACAAACATAGGATATCATTCACAGCAGGAATCTGAATCCAAATAAGGTGTTGATGTGCCATTGCTTAGACCAAAATTACATGTTACATCAGTTATACTTTTAAGAGCTTAATCTTTTCTTCCTGGGACTTTGTCTCTGAATTAACCTGACCTTATATTTGTTAACACATTCACAACCACCAGAACAGACTTGCATTGCTCAATGAAGATGCTGAAGTGTTAGTCCAGGAGACATTACTTAGTTACCTATATGTAACAGAGAAGGCAATGTTGGATATCAGGAGACATATTTAATAAGCCAATAACATTTGCACAGAAATCCAGAGCATCACATGCTGACGTGTCCACTCACCGGTCTGGTTTGAGATCTCCCCAAGGGCGCACGGCATGCAGTCGAAACAGCAGGTAGGTGAACCTGAGTGGTGGAGTTTGTAATAACCCATTTGGCAGCTTGGTGTACATACAGAGATGGGGACCTAAGTCAGAAGCAGAAGGATCATTGGTATTTTTTGTAATAATTTAATAGCTTTTTATAATTATAAATATGTGTAGTGCGACTATTTAAGGATTGTCAAATCTCTGAGCCTGGCCTTGAACCATGGATCATCTCCAAGTGGGAGTTAAGTCGCACAGTTCTGAGTTCTAGCAAAATATTCTTCCACTTCACAATATCTGGACTGCAGTAGCTTTGACATCATCACACAAGGAAGAGTGACAGAAGAATAGCAATACCGGATTCATTTATGTTTTTCTCAATAATGGAAAGAGATGACCCGATAGTGATCCAATGCAATGCAACTACAAAAAGCCATGTTGTGAGGTAAGCTCCGGCCAAAGGTGATTTTATCCTGCTGCAATTGTGTTTTATTGGCCTTGTGTCATAAAGCTCTTAGTTATATTCTGCCTTTTCCCAGCTATTGCAGCTCTGGAGCTCATCCTTTTCATAGTTCATGTTTTTACCAGTCCACACACTGTTTTGCCAATGAAAAGATATGGCACACAGATTATTAGTAAAGAACAAGAAGTTTACTCTTTGTAATGCAGAGCAACATATATACCAGGGGTCCTCAAACTTTTTAAACAGATGGCCAGGTCACAGTCTCTCAAACTGTTGGAGGGCCGGATTATAATTTGAAAATATCATGAATGAATTCCTATGCACACTGCACATATCTTATTTGTATTGCAAAAAACACTTAAAAACAATACAATAATTAAAATGAATAACAATTTAAACAAATATAAACTTATTAGTATTTTAATGGGAAGTGTGGGCCTACTTTTGGCTGATGAGATAGATTGTTGTTGTTGTTGTTGTTGTTGTGTGCTTTCAAGTCCGTTCAGCCTTAAGTTGACCTTGAGCGAGGGCCAGGTAAATCACCTTGAAGGGCTGTATCCGGCCCCCGGGCCTTAGTTTGAGGACCCCTGATAAATACAATCATGTAAATAGTTGCATTGACTCACACAATATCCTTTGGGAGAGATTCAAAGGGTCCTTAGGTGTCCATGTGGAAAAATTTCCAGCAGTCCAGAAGCAAAAATCTGTCTTGGTAAGCTCCTGCACAGCTAAAGACTAAATATGTAACTGTTGCCAAAACTCCCAGGCTCAGCTAGTCTCTTGGGTGCAGCCCATCCAATTGGCTTCATGCTTTGCATTTTTAGTTAACACACACAGCAACTGACTTTTACATGCCTTAACAATCCTCTACTCTGTTCTACACCCATCTTCTCTCTACAAGCAAGTAAGCTAGATTAAAGGTACCCAGGATGATCCTAAACTGGCATCCAAAAAGTGGACTCACTTTAGTTCCCAATCCTTAAATAAGGAGCAGACACTGTATTCTGAAGAGCAACCAGAGCAAAGGGTCCCTTAAAGATACAGTCCAAAGAAACATGTATCACCCATCAACTAGAACAGTGGTTCTCAACCATTTTTTTGACCAGGGACCACTTTGATCAGGGACCACTTTCCAACATTAGTACCAAAAGGGTTACGAATAAGTTTTGGTCAACTTTGGATTTGGTTTGGTTATTTGGGGTGCTGAGTCAGACAATTGCATTGGATAGACTACATCAGCTCTAGTTTCTGATACAGAACATGTCATCCAATAGTTGCCATCTTCTCACCTACAGAAAACCATACTTAATAAGCCTCGGCACTATAAGAGGGTTTTGTGAGACCAGTCACTCTTGTTGCAACCGTGTAGTAACAGTGAGGACGCAGACCATATTTTTTAATTCTTGCAGACTACTGGTGGCCCATGGACTGCATGTTGGGAACCACTGAACTAGAACAAAAGGCATTATGTTCTTGTTGAGCATATGGGAACTCTCATTAGAAATGTGAGCTAAATCCATTTGATAGCCCCAGTGTGGAAAGGCCTTTTGAAAAGAAAAGCCTGTCCTCCTTACCTCTGTTCTGCCTCCAGTCCACACAATGGCACTGTCATTAATAGTCAGCTCTTTAGCTTGGGAAGGTCTGACTTGTCCAATTCGCACAAGTCTGAGGTGGTCTGCAGAAGCAAGACGAGTGTTGTAGACGTCAAAGAGGGCAGGAGGGTCACCATGTTCATCAAAATAGACTTCTTCACCCACTTTGTTCTTGAAACGGACTCTCCTTAAGTACTGGTGCAACTGGGAGTTGGGAGAATATGAGGGCATCAGATCCCTGCAGTAACTGAATAGCATGTGGGGGAAGGTCATGTTTATAAGATGTGAGGGAAGGTCATGTAGAAATTGGAGCAACGTTTGTTTTCTGCTACTCCTGAAACTAGGAACAAATGGATTCAACTACAAGAAAAGAGATTCCACCCAAACATGAAGAACTTCCCGACAATACAAAATTTATGATGGTGGAATGGATTGTTTTGGAAGGTGGTAGACCATCCTTCAAACCTTCAGGCAGGGACTGACTGGCCACCTCTCAGACATGAGTCTATGATTCACAGCCCTACTCAATGATTACAGAAAAAGCTACTCCTATGAGCAGTGCAGGTGCTATTGCATCCTGGGGGAATGAGGGGTTGCCATTGCCCTCTAGACCAGTGGAAAATAAGGTTTGTGGTGGTTCCCCCACATTCCACTAGCATTCATATTGTTGCAACATGATAGGAGAGATCATATCAAGAGGGATCCTTTCTGGAGAAAGAAAAGTATGGCTTTATTTCCAGCTGGGACCCTGGAGTGGAGTCCAAAAGCTTCAGAGTACCCGATAAAGGTGTTGACTGTGTCTTTTATACACTTCAAATGCAGGCAAACAAAGAAACATGCTTCTACATACATTGACATCATTCACTACGTCACTTTAGCATCATAGAAATATCAAATTCTATCTTCCAACATGCAAAAGGCATGTCTCTGTATTTCTTTCTAAAGAGCAGCATACAGCTTACAGCTTACATTCATTAATCAAAGGGCCTACTTTGACCTGTCAGAGAGGAGGGAGATAGGCTCCTTACCAAAAGTTAGACGCTATATTGTACTAGTCTCTGTATAGATAACAGGTCCCCTTCCTGGAATGTTCACCTCCCTCTTTCTGTGCCTAGACAGCAACTTGTCCTGTCAGCTTGGGTTTCTGATACAGAGAGAACTTGATTTTTTCTTACATTTCAATGCTTGTAATGTACATACAATATATGCATAAATAAATATCTATTTTTCCAATATCTCCCCATCCATATAGGTTGTTGCATACTGCAAGTCACTTCTGGTGTTATTGACATCTCCAGCCCATTCTTTGTTCGGCTATCAGCCAACAAGTTAATGCCTTAAATCAAGGAACAGCTTCCTAAGATCTACAGATCTTAGAAACAGCTTCCTAAGATCTACTTGCAGGAACACCTCAGCAAGCAAGAGTCCAAAAGTGGTAGGCTAAAACCCGGAACCTCAATCAGTGGCTGAGATCGAATGAGAAGCTCCGTCCTAGGCACACAGAAGACTGGGCAACTTGGAAGGCGCTGAACAGGCTGCACTCTGGCACCACAAGATCAGATCTAACCTTAAGGAATTGCGCTACTTAGTGGAGTCTACAACATGCAAGTGTGAGGAAGAGAAAACTACAGACTACCTACTACAATGCAGTCTGAGCCCTGCCACATGCACTGAAATGGCAGGGAGAAGGTTTCAGGAAAAGAGACAAAGAGAGGTCTGGAGGTCTCAAAAGCACGGATTTTATTTCCAGCTGGGACCCTGGAGTGGACTATGTCCAAAAGCATCCAGAGCCCCGATAAAGGGGCTGACTTTCCCTTTTATAGTCTCCAAATTCAGGCAAACAAAGAACATACATCTACATATATTGACCTCATTCTCTACATCATCTTAGCATCACAGAAATATCAAGTTCTATTTTCCAACATGCAAAAGGCATGTCTCTGTGTATTTCTAGGAGCAGCATAGCTTACATTCATCAATCAAGGGGCCTTACTTTGACCTGTCAGGAGGGAAAGGGGGGCTCCTCCCCTAGAAGGAAGGCACTGGGCTAGTTGTACCAGTCTCTGTGGCTTATCTCTCTCTTGGAATGTATAGATAACATGCCCCACTCTTCAGCTCCCCCCTTGCTGTGCCTGGGCAGCAGCTTGCTTGTCCTGTTAGCATTCTTTCTGGTATAGAGAGAGCCTGATTTTTCTATACATTTCAGCGCTTGTAAAGTACATACAATTTATACATAAATAAATAAATATCTATTTTTCGAATATCTCCTCATCAGCGCAATGGAGGATCTCCTTATAGCAACACCAGAGGCACTCAAGGTGGCCAGCTTCTGGTCAAAGGAAATCTAGTATAACGCCAAGTTTTAAACTTTGTTTGTGTTTTCTTAAATACATTATAACTGTACCCTCAATGATAAACAAATATAGGATGTTGGTATAATACTTAAATAAGCTAGTACCTTCCAATGACTGAACCCACGAGATCCCACTTGTGCTCTGTTGACCATGCTCTTAGGTCCTCTTGGCTCCTCTTGTTCCATCATGTCATGTAGGGCATGGGTAACGGCATAGACTGCATTGTAGACGCTGAAGGTCAAGCCAAAACCGGGCATGCTGGCAAAAGGGTTTGTGTCCTTCTTCAAATTCTCTTTCCCTGTACAGTAGCGTCTGTCATGTTCCTCCTGGACGTAGCTCTGATTCCACCAGCAGTTGAAAACCTTGCTCCAGAACTCCTGGATGAAGATGTCTTCTGAAGAAGTTACAGGTTGGAGCTCAAGTATGAAGTCCCTCAAGCCCGGAACAGGTCCTTTATGAGAAACGACGGAGAGCGAACCGTCAAACATGAAGAAGGCCTTTGGGTCTCTGAAGGTACTGGCCTGGCTAACGGCCTCCGAACACAGCAACACCCTTCCTTCCACTTTCTGCTGGTACAGTTCAAGAAGTAGAGGGTGAATCTCCAACCCACAGAAGGCGACAATTACACGGGCGTGGGATGCCATTATTGTTCCGACAACATCCCTAACACGGGCCATGTCAAGTGATAAAGGAAGCCAGCTCAAGAAGGCGACACACACCCTCTTCTTGAGTATTCCCTCTTGAACGATCTCAATGCCTTGCTGCCCATATTCAGAGTCCGTTGCAAGCAGTCCGACCCACTTCCAGGCAAAATGGATCACCAAGTGAGTGAGGCCGATGGCCTGGAATCTGTTACTGGGGATGGTGCGGAAGAAAGAGGGGAACTGGGATTTATCACTGGTCATGGAGCCGGTGTCAAAGTAACTGATCTAAGCACAAAAAGGAAAGAAGACTCCCTCATTTGCATATTCTTCGTTCGCATTTGCATAGAATACATATGGCCGCGCAACAGCTGAGTGTTCAAGATGGCAGAAGTTATAAGTGAAGAAGAGCAACAAGAGTACACAAGCTAGGAGATGCTGCAGCTATTTGCTTTTGCCTAAATCTACTGGAAAGGGCAAGTAGGATGAAAGAATATCAACTGGGACTACCCATGCCAAACTGGGACATCTGGAAGGTATGAAAATTTGATTTATGATTAATCTATCCTAGGGTTTTAGGATTATTTTTTTTTAGGGGAGGGGGGCAAGATTTAGCAAATGTATCATCATTGTTCCTGTAAGGCTGAGAGAGTATGACTTGCCCAAGGTCACACATTGGGCGGTGGTGCAATGGGTTAAACCCTTGTGCCAGCTGAACTGCTGACCTGAAGGTCGGTGGTTTGAATCCACAAGATGGGATGAGGTTCCATCTGTCAGCTCCAGCTTCTCATGCAGGAGCAACGGTGGTGCAATAGGTGAAACCCTTGTGCTGGCTGAACTGCTGACCTGAATGTCAGTGGAGACAGGGTGAGCTCCTCTCTGGCAACTCCAGCTTCTCATGCAGTGACATGAGAGAAGTCTTTCACAGGACTTCTGGGCAATGTCTCTATAGATCAGTTGTTCTCAACCTTCCTAATGCCGTGACCCCTTAATACAGTCCCTCATGTTGTGGTGACCCCCAACCATAATATTGTTTTGTTGCTACTTCATAACAGTCATTTTACTACTGTTATAAATCATAATGTAAATATCTGATATGCAGGATGCATTTTCATTCAGACCAAACTGGGCACAAATACCCAATACACCCAAATGTGAATGCTAGTGGGGTTGGGGGAGGATTGATTTTGTAATTTGGGAGTTGTAGTTGCTGGGATTTATCAAAGAGCATTCTGAACTCCACCAGCTATGGATTTGAACCAAACTTGGCTCCCATCACGAATGGAAAACACTGGAAGGGTTTGATGGGCATTGACCTTGAGTTTGGGAGTTGTAGTTCACCTATATCCAGAGAGCACAGTGGACTCATGCAATGGTGGATCTGGACCAAACTTGGCACAAATACTCAATATGCCCAAATGTGAACACTGGTGGAGTCTGGGGAAAATAGATCTTGACATTTGGGAGTTGTAGTTACTGGGATTTATAGTTCATTACAATCAAAGAACATTCTGAATTCCACCAACGATAGAATTGGCTCAAACTTCCCACATGGATTCCCCATGACCATAAGAAAATACTGTGTTTTCTTATGGTCTTTGGTGACCCCTCTGACACCCCCTTGCAACTCCCTCAGGGGTCCCGACCCCCAGGTTGAGAAACACTGCTGTAGATGGTCAGTTCTCTCACACCAGAAGCAACTTGCAGTTTCTCAAGTCACCTCTGACACAATAAACAAAACACAGTGCCTGGATGAATTAGAAGGGATTCCAATTTTGGACTCCTGGAATCCTCTACATTGTAAAATTAATGTTGTTTAGATACCACTTTAACTCCAGTGCTATGGAATAATGGAAGTTGTAGTTTAACAAGGTCTTTAGCCTTCTTGGCAAATTGTTCTGGTGCCACACCATACTGCAACTCCTATGATTTAATAGCATATAGACATGGCAGTTAAAAGTGGTGTCTAACTTCATTAATTCTACCCTCGATGTACCCCTTGTGCACTACACTATACTACTTTATCGGACTGCATTGCCTCCTAATGTTCCTTTTATGCAATTGCAACAGCCTTCCAAGCATGGAAAGTGCAAAAAGCCCAGATGGGGCAATTCAAATGTCATAAAACAGGGAGTAAGTTTGGAAATCTTCACAACTTTACTTCATCAAGCTGAAACCCGGCCTGGTGATTCATTAGAGAGTGATAAAGAGAGGAGAAAAAACTGTCATGCTGAGAAAGCCACAAAGTCTGAAACTGCAGCAGCCTCTGAAAAAATCCCTGTGATGTCTTGCAGATTTAAGGGGATTGGTCTTTGTTAGTTCCTTATAGGTTTCAGGTCGCTAAAAGAGTGATCATAGCATATTTACTATGCACATACATAACACATATCTTCTAGCAGATACTCAAATACATCCCCAACAATAAATAGGGAGTTTCCTAGTCGGAATGTGATGGGGTCTTTGTGAATGGCATAACTTTATGAATATGAAAGGTATTTTATAGAATAATATTGTTAAAAGAGGCAGCAAGCACTATCAAATCCAACTCCCTGCTCAGTGCAGGATCTCCAGCTAAAACTGTTTCTCAACCTGGGGGTTGGGACCCCTGGGGGGGGGGGGGTGCCTACTTTGACCTGTCAGTGAGGGAGGGAGATAGGCTCCTTACCAAAAGTTAGACGCTATATTGTACCAGTCTCTGTATAGATAACAGGTCCCCCTTCCTTGAATGTTCACTTCCCTCTTGCTGTGCCTGGACAGCAGCTTGTCCTGTCAGCTTGGGTTTCTGATACAGAGAGAACTTAATTTTTTCTTACATTTCAATGCTTGTAATGTACATACAATATATGCAAAAATAAATATCTATTTTTCCAATATCTCTCCATCAATATAGGATGTTGCATAGGATGTCGCGAGGGAGTTTCAGAGGGGTTGCCAAAACCATAAGAAAACATATAGTTCTGATGGTGTTAGGAACCTTTTTGACAGAGAAGGATGAAGATCTCTCCGCCTGTCCTCTTCCATTTTGGTGATGGTAAACTAGAACTCCCAGAATTAAAACAGCCCACCCCCATCCCCACCAATATTCAATGTTGGCCATGAAACTAGTGTGCCAAGTTTGGTGCAGATCCATTGTGGGTTGGATTCAAAGTTATTTTTGATTGTAGGTGAACTATAAATCCCAGCAACTATTACTCCTAAATGTCAAAGTCTATTTTCCCCAAACTCCACCAGTGTTCACATTTGGGCATATTGAGTAATCGTGCCAAGTTTAGTCCAGATCCATCATTGTTTGAATCCACAGTGCTCTCTGGATGTAGGTGAATTACAACTCCAAAACTCAAGGTCAATGCCGACCAAACCCTTCCAGTATTTTCTCTTGGTCATGGGAGTAATGTGTGCCAAATTTGGTTCAATTCCATCATTGGTGTTCAGAATGATCTTTAATTGTAGATGAACTATAAATCCCAGCAATTACAATTCCCAAATGTCAATGTCTATTTTCCCCAAACTCCACCTGTGTTCACATTTGGGCATATTGAGTATTCATGCCAAGTTTGGTCCAGA